CTTCGGTGAGCTATATACAAAAATTTAAATACATATATATTTTTTTTAAAGAATATGATATAACTCTAAAAAAATTAGTTTTCAATTAACTTCGGCTTCATTCATGAATCATGATGCATTAAAGAAAGGTGTTATACGTTCGCGTTCGTCTCGTAGGAAAATTCAATTTGCCAAAATACAACCTTGAGCTAAGAGAACGCCGAGACGAGCTGTCCCTACGTTTATCACCCTCTATTATTGTAGGACAAGAATGATAGAATACAAGATTGCGCCGATCGGAGAGGATTTTTGAGAATAACTTGTGTGTGACGTCACACTGGTGCAATTGCGAGAGAGAAATGCCAAAACGTGAGCAAGAATGGAAGAAGAAGAAAAAATGTTGCAAGGAAAACGTAAACAAGTTGCACCAGTGTGACGTCATGCAAACAACGATTCTGTCAAATTCGTTAAGAGAGGAATAGCGGTCCGCGATCGGCGCAACCTTTGTATTCTCTCAATCGTGATTGTAGGATGGTTTTCATTATAGCTATTTCGCGGTTTAATTTTTTCGATCAGTTAAGTATTTTTGAAGTAAAAATTAAATCGCAAAATTTCAATAAAATATGAGCGCAAAAAACTGCGAATAGTTATGATCGAAAAGTAAAAAAAAAAAAAATTTTTTTTTAATTTTCAAAACAGATCTGTGAAGCAAATTTGAAATTGAATGAGCGAACTGTCTGCCCTCACAACGAATTGTCTGCCCTCACAAAACAAAACAATTCTTTGTGTTAAAAGCATTTCTATAATTAAGTCACATTTTATTTGCCACCACTATACTGGAGTAACTGTACAGCCATTGGCCGAGCACGGTCATGAACCGTTCATCATTTTATAGTAGACGGAAACGATCGCATTATTCCATAGCATATCGCTAGGCATTCAAACAAATTGAAAGGTTCTGCACTTGGCTTATACGGTAATTCGATTTCGAAAAATATTTGGAGAAGCCTATGATGGAAATGATTTCACATTCAGTCACTGTATGGCAGTGATGGAAAATTAGTGTGCATTTGCCATTTACGGCCATTTCGCAAGCAGCCGGCAACTTAAGCACAATCGATTGATTTTCGGCATTATTTTGGCGTAACTCAATGCAGCTAATAAATATTTCTTTCGGACCCGCAATTAAAACTATTTTATGTTTTTTTACTTTTTCATATAATTTTTATTAAGTTGTAATTTTCGTTAAATTTTTTAAATTGTTCTGCTTCTGTGAAGATGCAGATACAATTTAAAATAATGATAGTTTTGCATAAAGTTTACACACATATGTACATACATAGACTGGCAATCAAAAGTGAGTGCATGGTGTTTTTTGTTTAATATTTGCAACGTTTTTCAATTTACATTTTTTTTTTTGTTATTTTTTTATAAAAATATGGTTCATGCTTTAATCAAAACTGAACAAGTCAAACTTTTAAACTTTATACAGAACTTAGAAAAATTCAACGAATTCTCGTCTAAATTTTGACCTGTTTAATCTGAGTTTTTAGAAAAATTTTGAGTACGCAGCCAGCCAGTAACTCAGTGCCTCTACATATCTGAGAAAGTATGTATGTAGGTACTCATCAGAGTAAAAGCACAAGGGAGGTAACTTGAAGGCCAAGTCGATTTTTTCAAATGGGAAGGAACTCCAAATTTTTATCGCTTATTCGAAAAGGGCGAACAATTTTACATGAAAAATTGGTCTTAACCATGATTTGCGGGCCATTTTAAAGTTAAATACACTTTTTTCATTTTCCTTATTTTTCATGAAAATTTCTTCATACTTCGTACATTTGGAAAGAGAAGAACACTTTTACGTGACCATGAGTTTGACGTTGAAGATTATTTCACAGAAGTTGATTTTTTCGAATGCAACCCTAGTCAAAATTGTGTTGTATTTTTTTATTGTATGTAACTCTCGAGACTTGTTAGTAGAATCTAACTTCTTCATTAGCAAAAAATCATGTTTTGGTTTTGCGTGCGATGGAGCAGCGAAATTAGTAGTGCAGGTAGAAGATTTCACAGTAAAAAATCATTGTATACATTTCATCTCTCGAAATGGGATCAAGTGTATTCTCAAAAGCGAAGATTTCTTCGTAGTTTGGTGCCTAGAAATTTTATTTATTTATTTGTGGTAATATTTTTTGGGTTAGCCAATTATTTGCAGAATTCGGTTGGTTATTCCGGCTACTTAAAAATGTTAAAAAGAACTCAGCTTTATTTTTAATAAATTTTTATTTTATTTATAATGATTTAATAATAAAGTTATAAGTTAATCATCATTAGATAAACGTACATACATGCATACATATCTGTATGTACAATATAAAAATTATAATCATCATATAAATAAGTCTCTATACAAAAACAAAAATCTTGTGTAGTAAGTATGTACATTATATGCAGTATACATATTTATTAAAAAAGGAAACTCAATCACACCATATTTTGAATGAAAATTAAAAAAAATGTCAGTATAAAATATACATATACTCGGTATGTACTACAGTAATTACTAAGAAATATTTATGTATAGTTTTTAAATATTTTTATTTCAAGTTTTACAAAATATTTTTTAATCAACTAGTTTTGGTGCCAATTAATATATTTCTAAAACGTACATGTACATATGTATGTATGTGTTTTTTTTTGTATAATTACATATGTATGTGTATGTATTTTGCTGGCTTAGATTTTTTTGTGTCTTAAAGGCGACATGTGGAAGCATTTTGGGGTAAACTTAGCTTATATCTTTTTTTTTATAATTTCTTTTTTATTTTTAAATTTTTATATTTCTTGATTTCAGTTTTTTTTTTAATAAAAACAATTTAAATAAATAATTATATGCTAAAGTGCTATAGTAAATTGTGTATGCAGGCAGAATAGGCATACTTGATGTTATCCGTTTTTTGTTTCGAAATATAAGAAAAATGTAATGAACTTTGTAATTGCACAAGTATTTTTTACTTAGTTACTTAAGGTGAATATTTTTATGATTTTTTAGAAGAAAAGTAGCATTTTTACTACATACTCGCTTAAAAAAGAAAAAAAGGACACGTTTTTTGTGATTAAAAGATTTCTGATTTTTTTTAAATTTATTTCACAACAGAATTAAATTTTGTTTTTGTAATTTTTAATTTTTTCATTGTATTGTTTTTTATTGGATTTAACTTAATATTTTTTTTTTTTCATTTTACTTTATTGTATTTTAGTTCATTTTATATTATTTTTATTGGTTTCATTTCATACAATACAAATTTTTGATTTTATGTATTTAAATTTTATCAAGTTTTATTTTATGTATGTTTGCACTTATTTTATTTACTTTTGGGTTTCATTTTATTTTATTTTCCTTATTTCAAATGTAAATAAGAAAAAAGTGCACGAATTTTATGATTAAAACATTTCTGTTTAAGTTTATTTCATAACGTATTTTTAATTAATTTTTTTTTATTATTATTATTTTTTTTATTTTGCTATTTTTTATTGTGTTTTACGTTATCTTATTTGCAATAATTGCATTGCATTTTATTTTATTTTATTTTCCTTATTTTCTTTACAGTTATTTTATATATTTATTTTGGTTTATGTTGTTTCACTTAATTTTTCATTTTGTATGCTTACTTTAAATTATTTTGTGTTAATTTATATTGTTATATTTCATCTTATTTTTTCCTAAAATTTTTTAATGTTATATTACATATTTTATTCCGTTTTATTTAGTTTTTTATTTCATTTTTTAAATCAAACTAGATTATATTTTTTATTATTTCTTTACTCTACTGGTTTTGATATTATTTTGTTTTGCTTTATTTTAATAAATTTAATAAAAACAAATTAATAAATATTTTTTTTTTGTTATCATTTTGATTGTTTATTACTTATTTTTAACTTTTTAAAATCTTACATAATTCTACTTTTCAACTACATTCATATTATTTTACTTTATTTGAATTAATTTGAAATGTGAACGAGAAAAAGGAGCACGAATTTTATGATTGAAACATTTCTGCCTAATTCTTTTTTCAGAACATATTTTTAATTTATTTTTTAATTATTTTATGAAATTTTTTGATTTTGCTTTTTTATTTTGATTTATGATATTTTCCAATTGTTTAATTGCATTTCATTTTATTTTACATAATATTAAATTATTTTATTTGTTTTGTTATATTTTATTTTTGGTTATGTTATTTCATTCAATTTTATATTTTGTATGGTTATTGTAAATTATTATTATTTATATATATATATATTATTTTGTTTTTTCATTAAATTTTTTTACGGTATCATATTACATGTTTTAGTTAGATTCTTTATTTAATTCTTTTTTTGTAATTGAATTATTATTTTTTTACTATTCTATTTTACTGTAATGGGTTTGAGTTCATTTTATTTCGCTATTTATTTCATTATTTAATTTTTATTTTTATTTAATTTTTACCTTATTTTTATTTTGTTAATTTATTTATTTTTTAACTTTTGATTAATTTTTTCATCATTTTACTTTACAATTAAATTTTTTACATTTTTATTGTTTGAAATTATATTATTATATGATCTGGTTTTATTTATTTTGTTATTTTTGTTTTGTGGTTTTTCATAAATAATTTTTATATATTTTTTTCTATTATGTTTAACCCTTCAACATTAAGCTTAGTTTCCAGTTGCTTTAAAAATACATTGGCATTTCAGTAAATTTTGTTTCTTGAGCCCAAAAAACTTATTGAAGAAATTTTCTTTTTGACGACTTCAAGAAAAAAGAGGAGGTATCAATTCCTCTAAATATTTTTTTTTTGTATGTAACTTTGAACCAACTAAACTGATTTTGATAATTTTTTTATCGAAAATGTGCTACCTCAAACGTGGTCCCATTCTAATTTGATTTCGATCCGATCATTGGATCATAAAGAAATTATATGTCAAAGAAGTCGGTTTTGATTTTTGGCGAAAAATTACTTGTTAATTTCTTGAGCATTTTTATACAAATTTTTATTTTTCTTGAAAGTTGGATACTATGCTTTATAAAAAAAAACAAATTTAAACTGGAATTATCAACTGTGAGAGAGAATATTTTGTGCAATTAAAGATATTTTAAATTATTATTTTTTTATGCTATTTGTTTGCTTGACACGTTTTTATTTTATCTGCTTTGTTTTCTGTCGCGTGGGCTTATTTTATTTTGTTGTTTTTATTCATTATTAGTTTTTTGTTCCTAATTATTTAAGGTTTAAGGTTTTATTAATTTCTTTTTTGATCCACAAATTTTCGTTTTTATGAATTTTCCGCCTGCATTATTTTCGGGAATTTCTAAATCTCTGTTAACCTTTTTTGTTATTTCTTTTTCATCAAAAATTATTTAATTTTGGTTTACGGTTCGCGCCGTTTTCACTGTTTTTTTTTTTTTTTAATTATTACTGTGATTAATTTTATCTTTCTGAAGTGTAGCTTATACTAAGTATTTGAATCGCATTTTGTATTTTTATTATTATTATTTTTTCATTATGTTTTCATGGCTTTCAGGTACAATTCAGTTTGTCTTTATGTGTTTTTCTAAGGATTTGTCACTTAATCTGTTACTGAGTACCTGATTTTTATAAACTAAATTATTCAGACTGGCCCCTATAGTTGGCACTCTTGTGTAATTCTCTTGCTTTATGCTGCGTAATTAATTAAATAATTTTATTTTTAAATATAAAAGTTTTTTTTTTTTTATAAAAAATATATTTACAATTTACAAAGACCGACGCTCTTCAAAATTATTAAATATACACGCAGCACGAGGCTTAGGCAATATTTAGTTTCCCTAATTTCTAGATATGTGTATACTATGTATTTATCGACTCTTTTTAGTAGTAGATTACAAATAAAATAACTTATTTCAATAAAATATAATAGCTTTTATTTTTTGTATAAGTAGTACATAAGTTAGTTACACTCTACCTTAGTTACGTTAAGTAAGCAACAAAGATTTTTCGTACCACTAATTTTTCTTTACTTAGTTAAATTATTTAAAAAAAAAAAGACGAGACTCAATTGGCTCAGTCAACTATTTGTTTGCTTTAGCATTTACATTTCTCCTTCTTTGACTATTTGTGTTTCTGTTTTTGCGGCTGCTTACAACACGACGCACTATATATTTATCTGCATTTTTTTTTAGTTTCTAATATTGTTTTCTTTTTTATTTTGTACCCTTATTTTCTTTGCTTTCACTGTAACATCCACACTTAATTGTAGTTGGAATGTGGCCAGCTGTTTTTGCGCTTTCAACTTGCCCCGTTGCAGCAGCGGCAGCATCGTCTGCCCATGTTGCCTGTTATGCCTGTTGTGCCTTTTGTGTTTTTTAAATTTTTTATTTCGTTGATATCGTCTTTTTCGTCTCAAGCCCAAAGCTACAGACCATCAATCGTTAGCCATGCAGTAACCTGAATAGGTCTGTATATTATCCTCTAAGAAGCTTTCGCCAGCTATAACACCCGATTGTGTGTGATGGCTGGGGCAGTGATGTCCTTTCGGGCACTGACAGAGCGCATTAATGTTGACTTCATCAAGGAATTCCTGCCGTTTGCGCACCGTAAATAATTTACACGGCTGCTTGCGTTGACATCGAATGCGCTGGAAGAGAAGAATGAGTTGAATGATATAGTTTATACTGTTGTATGTACAAATTGAAATTATTAACTAAATCTGAAAGTAAGGGAATCAAAGCAAAGCAAGATGGTTTGCAAATCCAAGGGACTTGGATCTGACTGAATATTTTGGAAATGGGATTTCGTTGGTTTCTATACAAAATCCAGAAACACTTTATCAGCCTGGACTAATGAAATTACTCATCAAAATCCATTGCTATAGTTCCTGAAATCTACATAATACTTAAAATAGATCTCTCAAATATGTATGTCGCCTTAAGAGAAGATGTGTACCCCACCAGACTCTCTTTCAATATGCATGTCAAAAAAAATAGATGAAAGTTCCAAGGCAGATTAGCTTAAAGAATCCTTCCATATAAAGTACGTAGAATGATGTGTGCTATTTCTAACAACCTCAAAGAAAATATCAAAAACCGACCTGCGCGCGTACAGAGCTTTTGCAAGCTTTCTATACCGCATAGTGTTTCGTCATGGTTCGCTAAAAATGCTAGCGTTTAGGTGATTCCCAATATGTCAGAAGACTAGCAACTTTATTCTCCGATCTGAGATAAAGTATTTTTCCCCTGGGAATTAGAGAGTATGTGGACATCTTGACTAGAAAGAAGTATTTACGTACACTCAAGCTAAGAACAACTATTAAAGTTCTTTGATAGATGAATACTACTTCGAAGCTCAATGTCAAAATCCTTTGTAAGATAAGATAATGGTTTCCTTTAATATGCCTCACCAAAGGAGAAAACCTCATCATCGGTCGAAACAAGCAGACTCGATAGGATACAGGATAAAAAGGACAGTACGGACTAAGAGGGGATAGTAATAGGATAGTATAAAATAGGATAGGTTAAGAGAGGATAGGATATTAAACGGGATAGTATAGAAAAGGATAGGATAAGAGAGGATAGGATAGAGTAGGATAGGATTGGACGGGATAGGATAGAATAGAATACAATAAGATGGGGCAAGAAGAATAGAAAAGGATGGGATAGGAATGCATACTTTCGAATTGAATAGAAGATGATAGGAAAACAAAAAAAAATCCAAAGGAATGAACTTAAATTGAATGTAAACAAAATGAAAAGAAAAGTGAAAACAACATATTAAAGTATAGAATAACGAAGCAAATGATGTGAGAGAAAAGAAAAATGATATTCAGGGAAATGTGAGAACAGATGAATAAATGCCAAAAAATGAAATGAAAGTAAAAGGAATACAGAAACGGACTGAAAGAGAAAAAAGTTGAAATCTAAGTAAAATTAGGTGAAATGAAATGTAATAGATCTGAATGAAATGAATTGAAAGCAAATTAAAGTAAAACAAAGTGAGTGAGGAAAACTGAACTGAAATAAAATGAAGTTATGAAATTAACGGAAATGCAAAAAATTAGAATAAAATAAATTTGATGGAGAGCGAAATTTAAGGTGTAGAATAGGAATAGAGTGAACTTAAAAATTTAAATGTAATAAGTTCAATGAAAAGTGAAATGAATTGATGTAATATTGTTGTTGTTCAGACTTGCGTGGTTATCAAGTTATCTGGTTAAAAATAATTTATCTGTACAACAATAAAATACTTTTCTGTTGTGTATTTTGTTTTTGTACAAGAATAAATCTCACTACAGAAAAATTATTCTTTAACCAGATAACCTGATAAGCAGGCAAGCGTGAACAACCACTATGTTTTTGTTAGCAATTGCCTGGTTATGAGGTTATCTGGTTATATTTTTTATTCAGTTTACAACAATAAAGTACATTTACAGAATACAAAGTTTTAACCAGATAACTTGATAACCAGGCAAGTGTGAACAACCCAAATGTTTTTGTTCGCACCTGCCTGGTTATCAGGTTATCTGGTTATATTTTTTATTCAGTCTACAACAATAAAATACATTACAGACTAATAATTGTTAACCAGATAACTTGATAACCAGGCAAGTGTGAACAACCACAATATGAAGTTAGGAGATTAAGTAAAGTAATATGAAGTGAAGTGAAAATAATGCAATCAAATAAAATGAAATGAGGTGATATAAAATGAAGTTGTAAAAATAATATAATTAGGAATGAAATGAGGTGAATGTATAATGAAAACAATTGAGAGTAGGAAGTGAGAATATGAAGCGAATTTAAAATATTGAATTTAAGTGAATTGAAATAAACTATGCTGAAATAAGTTGAATGAAAAGAGAAATAAAATAAGATTGTGAATAGAGAAGATCACTAGAATTGAAATGAGCTAAATAAAGATAAATGAAACTAAATGATTTCAAGTGAAGCTAAGCGAATTGAAATGAAATGAGGTGAAATTGAATTAATTAAAATAAGTTAAAATCCACATAACTGTACTTCTTTCAACACTTACTGTTATGGGTGAACAAGCAAAGAGGTAGGTATAACCGCTGGCGCCATATGTAGCCGGCTCTCGTTTCGTCAGATATGTCACCGAATTCTTTGGGCAACGACAATGTACAGTTTGTTCAGTCACATTTAGTTCAGCTGAAGTGGTAAGCGTCCACGTGTAATCGCGGAAATGTCTAAAACAAATACACACAAATAAATACATACACAACTCCATAACCACCAAAAACCTCACACCGCTACTCACTTGCATACGGGCAACTTGTGCACCGGTTGACACATCTTATAATGACGCGTCTTATCGGCAATTGTATGGCCATCCTCCACACCCAACCCACTCGGACAGCCACCAATGAAGGTGATCAACGAATCCTTCGCACGATGCCCATTATGACCCGAATGCCGCATATGCGCTGTACTCGGCTCTACCGAATAGTAATTACGACGCGACGGTGTATGCGGAAATTCATTGTCGTTCAGTTCACCAATTTCATCGCCCTCCTGTGAATTGGGCAAAGCATCGTTGTCTTCGTTATGCGACGACGCCGATGATGCATAATCGCTAGCCTGTAAATTTAAATCATCCTCATAGACGGCGCCTAAACGTTGCATCAACTTCTTCAGATGCAGCTGCTCGAATTTCTTATCGTTGAAATCGCCCACCAGCAAACGTTTATGTTGCAACATTCTCTCTCGTTCATAGTAGCTGCGGAATTTTTCATGTGCCGCCGCCGCAGCAGCAGCAGCAGCAGCACCAGCGGATTGTGAGAGCTCGCCGGAGCCGGAACCGGAGCCGGAGCCGCTGCCGTGATGATGTGTTGTTGAGTGATGGTGGAGTATAATGTGCGGTTGACGATTCAATTCGGGGCAACGGCATTGACGCTCGATCCAAGGTGTTTCGTACAAATCGATTTTTGAGCAGACAGCATTGGGCGCACAAATCGGTAGATCGTCCTCGGAGTCCTGAAAGGAGTGAAAAGGGAGCGAGTTTAAAATTAGAGTATTTTGTGGTGAAAATATATTTGCATTTGAATTGCATTTGAAATTCTGATTCACTACAAATTTATGCATCTAATTTTGCCCGCCAAGCTAATTTTGTCTCAGCTCAAACCAGTTGAGCCCACGCAACCCACTTGCAATCATGAATTTCTATAATTTGCTGCACATTCACTGTCATTCGTTATAATTATAGCTTAGAAAATTACTCATTTGGCTATCTAAAATGATTTCCCATTTCAAAATAAATGTTGTCCTCATTAAAAATGCCAAATATGCATCAGAAAAATACCTACGTAAAATTATGAATTAAATGGAAAAACTTCAATTGCGCAAATGCAAATTATTTTGAGATGTGTTTGTTTGTATAAAAAATGCGAAATATCAATAAAATATATTCACAAAAAACGTGTTCACAGCCATGTAAATGCAATTAATCGTAAAGGGAACTGCCATAAATTATACTTTGTTATGTAGAACAAGTGATTAATGTCTGCGCTAATAAAATGATTTTGAATTTTATTAAACGGCTATAAACATTTGCTTACACAATCGTTTTGCTGTTATTGAAAAATTCTGCAGAAATACATACATACAGTATCGGTCATATCTATAGCACGCCATTTCAAAGTGATATTGTGTGCCACTTATGTTTATTTATTTATTTTTAAGAATTTTCAATTAAAATATAGTTCTTTCTCAAACAAAACCCATATAAACACAAGTTTAACAAATTGTAGAAAACTACAAAAAAGTGCAACGAATATTCACCTAAATTTCAAACTTTTTTCTCGGAAGTGTTCGAATTTTTCTGAATACACAGTTTTGTAGTTTTGAGCGGCTAAAAAATCGGCTATTATCGACATTCATGAGGGGATCAATTCACTTTGTACAGCCCCCTCCAGCGTCTCTCTGCTAAAAAAAATCTTTTATTTTATTTCATTTTATATTACATTTATTTTTTATTCAATTTTTTTAGTTTAGTTTTTGGAAGTTTCTATTATATTTATTTTTTAATTTACATGTGTACATATATGTTAATTTATTTATATATTTTTATATTCTAATTTATTTTTTATTTCATTTTTATTTTTATTTAATTGAAGTTTGTTTAATATATTTTGTCTATTTTTAATTGAATTTCACTTCTTGTTCTTTATTTTTTTCTTTTAGTTAATATATATATTTTAAAATTTTGTTTCATTTTTTTTATTAATTTTATTGCATGTATTTTGTCTTGTTTTATTTGATTTTATTTTA